AGGCAGCCGGGCTACATGGGTGCTCCCGTAGCAGCCCTGAGATCTCCTGCACGCTCCCAGACACGAGCCATGTTACCTATGATGACCTGACAAGGTAAGAAAGTCTCTCAGCTGTTTGGAGGTCCAGTACTGGCCTGGAGTGGGGTGTTGGGCTGCTCACACTTTACATGATCTTCTGCCAGTACTACTGTTTCTTTTTATGAAGTTCACTTGAGTGGCACTTTAAGATGTAGAAAGAATCTTCCCTGGTATTCCTTCAGATCTTCAGATGCCTCAATTGCCTTCCTGAGATACTTCTTTAGATGAGAGGTGTAGGTACCTTCCAGGAGTCATTTGGTTTATTTGAATCACAGCTGCTCATGCCTGTACAAAATCTGCAGATTACCTCTGTGCTGTTAAAGTAATAGATAGGTTGCATTTTTTTTTGATGGTAAAGGTGGGGACTTGGGAAGATTGAACTATCAGAGCTGTATTATCCTGCATTGTTAAAGCAGACCTGTACAGGTGTTACTTAATGGCTTAGATCTATAAGTAAGGAAGGACTGTAACAGAAGAGAGCAGAGCAGCAGGGTACGCACTACACAGGTCCCTTTTCTCTGCTCATTCAAGTACCTTAAGGGCTCGTTCATTATGAATAGGTTCACAAAAATGCTTCTGACTGTGAGAAAGTTCGGCTTGTGTGGCTCACGATCTCACTGAAAATTTTGACTGTTTTAGATATTTATTGAATTTAGATAGCTCAAGCACTTGAATTTTCAAGTTTTTGTGGTTTAACCCATCAGGTAGCCAAAACAACCACACAGCTGTTCAGTCACCCTCTGCTCAACAGTAGGACTGGGGAGAGAATTGGAAAAAAAAAAGGCTAGAATTTGGGGGTTGAGATAAAGACAGTTTAATAGGACAGGAAAAAAACAAAAATTGTAAAAGAGTATACAAAATAAGTGATGCACAGCACAATTGCTCACCACCCACTGACCGATGCCCAGACAGTTGCCGAGCCGTGGCGCATCCCTGACCAACTCCCCCAGTTTATACACTGATCAGGCATGATGTTGTATGGTATGGCATAGCCCTTGGGCCAGTTTGGGTCAGCTGTCCTGGCTGTGCCCCCTCCCAGCTCCCCGTGCACCCCCAGCCTGCTCCCTGGCAGGCCAGAGCATGGGAAGCTGGACAGTCCTTGATGGCTTAGCCACAACTAAAAACATCAGTACGTTATCAACATTTTTTCATCCCAAATCCAAAACATAGCCTCATAGTAGCTTCTGTGAAGAAAATTAACTGTATCCCAGTTGAAACCAGGACACAAGTGCAAGTTTGTCAAATTAAGCATGTAATGGGACACTTGCATACGCAGAAAACAGCAATTCTTCTGTCCTGTGTGTTGAGAGAAGCTTGAGAAGAGCACACAGTAGAGCAGTGGCAGAGATGTCCCAAGCAGCATGGGACAGATGAGTTCATTTTGTAACCAGTCCTGAGAACTAGGAATGTGGGAGCTTTTCTTAGTTCATATTCTTTCTCCCTGAAATAAATCAAAGGCAGCAGTGCTAATCCCTCCAAAGTTTGTTTGTTGTTTTTGTTTTCTCCCCGCATCTGCCAGAAGAAAATTTTTTGCTTTTTGAATGGTTACTGCTAATCATATATTTTTGTGCTTTCAACCCTAACATCCTTTTCCTATTTGTTCATTTTTGCCATGCTATGGGCAGCAAGGCGGGAGAAGTACTTCTGTATTACTGTTACTGTGAGGTGGAGGATCCAGAGAAACTTTGTGCTTGGCAAAAGGCTTTGTGCCAGCATCTGCATCTCACTGGCAAGGTAAGGTTTTAAGCAATGGTTGTATTCTTGAAAAAAAAAATTATTAAATAAATAATAAATAAATAAATAATAAATAAAAATCTTTCTTAGTGCAGGACAAGTGCGGCCTGTGGAGAACCAAGTGTTTTGCACCAGATGGTGCCTCGTCCATTGTGATTGCAGTAAGAAAGGCACTTAAATATAATTTTAAATGCTATTTAAGAACTAATGCTACAAAGAAAAAAATATAGATAATCTTACATCCCTTTAGATGCTGGGAACCTTGAGTTGTGCAGCATTGAGTGAGCCTCTGATCCACACAGCACACTGTCCGGACCCTGTCCTTGCAACACTTACCCCATTTCCATAATTCAAACTGTTACAGACTGATTTTTTACAGGAAAGCAAAGCCTTTTCATCTCTCCTACTGTCAAACAGAAAGAATACTCACATGAGAACTTCTTGATGCACTTTTAGATAAAGGCAAGGACCCACAGGTGGCATAATCACTGGTATCAACAGGGAGCTGCATGCAGGCATCTCCGTTAGAGTTACTGAACTGGGTTTATCCTGTGGGTTTATTTGTACAATAAATGCAGCACACACAGCCTGAAGGCCAAGCTGGAGGGGCAGCACTGTTCTGCATGGGTCTGGGCTTGCTCTGGGCACTCTGTTATGAGTATCACCAACTCCTCAATGCGCAATGGTCTTCCAGTCAGAATCGCTATGCCAAGCTGTAAAGTATACTGTCAGGAATGAGACTAGAGCAACTGACAGCTTAGACCACACCATGGGATAGCAATGCTTATTCCTGCACAGAGTCTTTGTTTTTTACATTCCTGGCCACGGAGGAATGTTGGATCCACGGAGGTGAGTTGGCTCATCTAGCTGGCCTTTTGAGGCTGTGGGCAAAGGTGAATTGTAGCCTCACGAAGCTGATGTTCCTAGGCTATCTGTGAGGAGAAGAATTTTTCAAGAGGGCAACTCAGAGCAGGAGACTACTTTTATCTTTGACTTGTCTTCCCAAGTAGCTTCTTTTTCTCTGCCAATGGTAGGCTCCTCCCCTGTTCTACATCAGCACACGTCTAGGGGTGAAATGTCGTGACACATTCACTTCTTTTTTTACTCAGCTATCTTGTCTGGTGGTTGGCATTTTTCTCAATTTTTTTCATTTCCAAGACAGGTACAGCATTCGCCTTTTTAACCAGTTGTTTTTTTTCCTTGCCTCTTATATTCAATCTTTTTTTTTCTCTTCACCACTTCAGAGTTTTTGTTGGTTTGTCAGTGCTGGAGATAAAATGACTCACAGTGAAATTTAATGGTACATGCAATATTATGCATATTCACATTTTTGCTTTAGCTGTGTGAGTCATTGGGCACAATCCCATTGCTCTTCCTGAGGCAGACTTCCAGAGGGAATTTTAATGCTGACTGCAGGATTTGCCTGTTAACCAGTTAGTATTTCTCTGTTCATTGCACAAACTTTTGACTGTCTTGATGTCATTCTTTTGAAATGGCTCAAAAGTGGTTACCGTGGTTTTATTCCTATTTCATTTACTGTCTTTGTGTTCAACCTCAGTATAACCATGTTTTCCTTCCTTCCTTAGTAGTCTCTTTTCTGAACATACTTCTGTGTCTGCCTTTTGTCACCCAGTCATATTTTGCTAATTTCACTGTGATCTGGTTTTGCTGTTACTAAGCCTTAGCCCCAGCTTCTCTTGCCTTCTAGGTGCGAGTTGCTTCAGAAGGGATTAATGGGACAGTTGGTGGAAGCAAAGTAGCTACCAATCTCTACATTGAAGTTATGCTTTCCCAGCCTCTGTTCAAAGATATTTTGTGTCAAGAGGATTTCAAGGTATGAAAGAATAATTTCTACACAGATGTTGTTAATGCAGGACACTTTATTTTTGATAAATAAGCACATTGCTTCTTGGTAGTATTACTTCTGCTCTAGCAGTTCTGCTCTTCCAGCACTGATCTAAGTCAAGGGTTCCTAATCTTACGTTGTTTAGATATCTCTGTTGGTTTTCACCAGTAAGTAGCCATTATCATGAGCAGTGATAGCAGCTGCTACAATCTTTGGCAGCTATGGGTGCAGCTGCAATGCCCAAGACAGGTGAATGAGGGAGTGTGCTTCAGCCCCACCATTCTCCAACACGAATTTACACCAACTTGACTGCCAAAACCAAAGCATTGCAACGTATACTTACCCAAGCAAACTATTTCCACACTTTCCTATTCACCCTAATTTTTCAATCCTCATCTAGAAGCCTGCTGGTTTAGGTTCATGCAGGCTTTGGTGTCCATATAGGTGCACTATCAGTTTCATGAATTGGATGTCTTTTAGAGAAAATAAACAGGCAGAGTCGAGATCTCCCTACTCCAGTTAGTGCCTGACTGGAGGGAGTGTGAGGTGCTAACTTCTGCTTGAGCCTGAGCATATGTGCTGATTGCTGTCTTCAGATGGTGATGGCAGCTGCGGCTGGCACTGTATGGCATTCTGGTAGGCTTTTGCTGTCCCAGCACTGTAGGTACTGGTTTCTCTGTGAGGAAGGAAAGCTGCTGCTTTTGTAGCATTTTTCTTTTCCACACAATTTATTTGCAGGGACTACTATTTTTTTTTCCATAAATAGCTAGATCAAAGGAGTTAGTGAAACTTGTGAAGCTCAAATCCCACATAGAGCTGCAATGCTGACTCAGTCTTAGCTTTTTAACTGTCTTTGTGCTTGGCTGAATTTCAAAACTAAATGTGACCTGTTAGTTATGGTCATGTGTAGATGCAAAAACAGAACAAAGATGGAATTTTACCTTGACCTTGTCAAAACCTCCAACCTTGCGTGATCTCTCTGGGCAACAACATTCATGCATTAGTACATGATGGTATTTTCTGTCTCACATTTCCTCTGCATGCTGTGTACTCAAGTAAGCGGGGATTTCAGGTCCCTGTGCCATGAAGACATGGGCATAGAGGAGTGAAAATTGTGCTTGGGGCTATAAAAATGTTGGCCACTGTAATTGCTGCAGACTCATTTCCGTGACAGCTGGGACAGTGCTGCACAGCACTGCACTTTTGTTTGAGTGTTTATATGCTTCATAGTGTCTAAATCATGTTTGAAGTTCTGCCCTACAAAATTCTCAATTCTTGTCGCCTGCAGTCAGGGCAGATACCAAAAAGGGCTTGCCGAGACCTCCAAAGGGGAAATCTGTGCTTGAGTTTTTTGGGGTGGGGGTGTCAGACTCCACTGTTAACATATCTTGAGCCTGGCTGACCTCCCATATGTCTCTTTCACACCTATGAACCACTGCAGTTCCCATGGCACATGTCATGACCAGCAGCCTAGGTGTGCTTGTGTGGGGCATGAGAGGGGCTGAAGAGTACTGCAGGGCCCAGATGTGTCAACATGATCCATTACTGGAGGTTATTTAATATGCCTGTCAGGGTCAGCATGCTGTGCAGAGGCCTTGACTTTCCCATGATAGGTGCTAGTGACATTGAGATCTGTTTTCCTTCCCATTCCTCGTGGAAGGAAATGGCTCCACGCCTCATGCCAAATGGTGCCTATCTCACCTGCGGAGTAGTCACTGGGCCTGAGACACCTGTCTGCTGGGTCACAGTAGGGGTCCACTGCCTAAACATCACGATTTAGAGTGTGGATTTCAGCAGAAATTTCCCTCAGCCACCGAGACACTTTCATATTCTAGTGAGTTGTAGAAATTAAAGTGAGTGGGTAGTTTTAATCTTGACACCTGGCAAATTTTGGTGGATTTTTTCTGTGTTTAATTTCCTAGAAGAGTGCAGGAGGAGCTCACTGTTTCCCAGACCTTCGAGTTAGAGTATTCAAAGAAATTGTACCTATGGGCATTGATCCAAAGATACTGTCTTATAAAGAAACTGGTAAGTTGATTTAATGAAAAATAAAGTCTCTCACCCAAGTGAGAGGTAAGTGAAGAATAAAGTACTTTCATCAAAAACACTTCCTTCTGCACAGTGGCCAGAACACGGGAGAAGCAGATATGGAAATTGATTTCTTCCTGGTGCAGGTAGTTTGCTGGCCTAGGTTTTGGTTTACTAAGCATTTAGGTGCTCAGAAAACTGTATAGAATTAATTTTCTGTTTTGTAGGAAACAGTAATAGTTCAAATGACATCAAGCCGTTACTTTGTTTTGGGGTAGAGACATACCTTGTGCTTTAGTCAGGGAATAAGTCATCATACACCTGCTAAAGGCAGATGTAAGATGAAGCTATGTGTGATGGTTAGGAAAGACATTTCAATGCATGAATATATTAGTATTTGTTCTAATTATTCTGTAGGTGCTTGAGACTGCTCGGAAGTGGTATCATATAAAGAGCTCACACGCTCTCTCATTGTGGTTAGCCTGCAGTAAGAACCAAGCTGTATAGGAAGAGCTTTCCGTGGAGTCTTGTGGATCCAGTGGATTCTGGAGCCGTGGATGCTGAGAAATGGGGTTTTTTTCCCCTCAAAAATGCTAGAATCACACTGAAGCTTACAGTTGAATATATACACGTTCCTATGTTAGGGTTTGCTGACTTGGCTTTACTTGTGTTGAAGCTAACAGCCATCTGCCTGCCTTTTGCACTGAAGCAGAGCCAAGTTCTGCATCAGGTTCATGCCAGTCCCCTAGCCCAGGCTGCATTTGTTTTCTGCTACCTGTAGCTGCTTAGTATGGATTGTGCCCCATAAGATCTTACAAGTAAGATGTAACTGGCTATGCATCTTCTATGAGGACCCTTAACATAGGTGGTAAGCAGGAGCACAGCAAACAGCAACTAACAGCAGTTTTGGGCTTTCTTTTCCACCAAGAGGTTTTGTTGTCGGTAGATTTCTACAGCATCTTTTTGTGGTTTTAGCAGAAGATTATTTATTTCCTCTGTTTTTTGCCAGTTTGTGGGATGCATGTTTGGATATTTCTTTCCTTTTTTCTCCTTTTTCTGCCTATTTTACAGCATTTTATGGAGATGGTTCACATTACTCTGGCAGGATCCTTGTATAGGGTTATTTTTTAATAAGGTAAGGAATTTTGGTGGGGGAGGCTTTTTGTTTTTCAGTAGGTTGGGAGTCCTAAGTCCTGAGCAACCTGAAAAACTATGTTAAAGTTGTACTGAAAATATACATGCTTATGGAAATTTTCCATTTTTATCAATGGAGAAGAGTTTCATTGAAAACGTTGCATTTCTGTACATTTCTGTGCCTTCAAATCTAACGGAAGATGAGCAAAGGGAAAGGCAACATTTTTCACTCTTTCAAGTGTAAGAGTTGACGGGGACATAACAAAGATTATAGAGACAGGTACCTGTCTGCTGCTGCTTCTGTCATGTGGAACAGTGTTGTATTTTCTTTCACTTGCCAATAGGAAGCCAAACATGGATAAACTTGGATGAAAGGTCTGTGAACCGTCGCAGAAAATTTTTGTTTGGAAATCTGAGGAGAATCTGGATCAGCAAGATCATATGTAACATTGTTTAGTAGTTCTGCTTCTCGCTTCTTTCTCTTATTTTTCCCTTTTTTTTTCTTTTTCTTTTTTTTTTTGTTTGTTTGTTAAAGGAATCCATTTATCCCCTCAGGAATTTCATAGAGAAGTAGAACAGTATTTGTCTAAGGCCAGTCAAGGACAAAACGATACCATCTTGCTGGACTGTAGGAACTTCTATGAAAGTAAAATAGTAAGTGTTGTTTGCTTGCTTCTTGCAGTGTGTTACAGGTGCTGGGGGGAAGCATCTCATGTTGTGAGGGTATAACCTTACTGGAAGTAGAGATTCCATGTTCCAGATTGACTGTAATATATACAAAGTTCAGTTTAGTAATGCATATCAGACACAAGCAGCAGAGAACCTGCTCAGTGACTTGGCATGGAGCCTGCCCAGCTAAGTGCTTTTACAGCTTGGGGCAAGAAGAAGACAAAGGGGTCCATACAACATTAGCAGTGAATACCATATAGTTTGAAGTAAAAGTACTATAATTTATAAGGGTGTTTTCCAGCATTTTTGCCTTGTCCCATATGTCATAAAGAATAGGGGCATCCTGCTGTCACACCCACCAGCCCTCCTCCGCTGTTGTGGCTCATCCTCTCTCTGACATTCTTTTCTGCTTAGCTTCCCCTTTTATGTTTCGTTGACGAGACATGCTGTGTCCAGAATCCTCTTACAGATTTTAACAGGTATTTTGATGCATATATGCAGCTGAGGAACTGCCTAAAGCAGCTGCAGTGAGCTGAGGGTTTTGGCCCAAAGGTTTGTCACTTCCTCTTGTTGGAGGCACAGACCTTAACATACAAGACTGCTTGTAACCAGTCACATGGCCATCTGTTGTTATTGCAGGGACATTTCCAGGGCTGTCTGGCTCCAGATATCAGGAAATTCAGCTATTTTCCCAGCTACGTAGATGAAAACCTGGAGCTTTTTAAAGACAAGCGCGTCCTGATGTACTGCACAGGAGGGATTCGTTGTGAAAGAGGCTCTGCTTACTTACGGAGCAAGGTGAGATGTCCTTCTCAGGGCACAAGTGTTGGGGAGTTGAGACTCCTTTAAGGGCAGCTGTCTCGTCTTTTGCTGGTAAATTCTTATTGAGCACAAACTGCTCAATGAGCAGGTGGGGAGATAAACGTCTCTGATGCACACTTACCTCATGTTGCCTGTCAGGGCTGTGTGGGTAGTTTAATGCAGCTCAGGATGATCTGCATGGACTGGTGTCACAGCATCACAGCAGTGATTCCTCTGTGAAAATAATTATGTAACCCATGTGCTGAGAAGAGGTATTTGTAAGTCTGCCTTGCCCATTGTAGCAGTGTTTTAGGAGGGCTTGAGAGCATTCTGCAGGGTTTTGACAAGCTCTGTCTAGGTTATGCTCTGTGGTCATTGCTGCACAGTTTGAGCATCTCAAGAGTGGTGAAAATCAGCCAGTCAGTGCTTTCCCAGTGTTGTGGAATTAAATCCAGCATCCCACATTGTTGTAATTGTGCTTTCCATCCCACTCTTCTGGATCCTTCCCTCAAGGAGCACGGGAACTGCACACATACATGTTCTCCAGAGATTTAAACCCTTGATTTTTTTTCTCTGCTGCGACAGTGTGAACCTTGAGAAATTCTGCTCCTGCTAACAGCTTGCTACACAAAAACAGAATAAACAGCAGTTCACAGAGGTTCAAAAGCATTTGATCAGTGATGCAGCAAACCTCCCTCAGCTGAGGAGGTTATCAGCCTTTTTTTGACTGCAATATTAAATGTGTATTTGGGTTCAAGTCAACAAGCCAGCATTGTGGAGCTGCACAGTAATCCTTAGTAGTGCTGCCTAGAGTTGTGGATGCACATGGTGCCATTTGATGGTCACTGCGAAGCTGCTGCTTTTCACTGACCCTTAGCATTTACATTTGCTTTGGGAACTCTGGCACACCACCACCGCTGCTGTTCCCTTCAACTTTTCTGCTAATATGCTTTAAACAGGCAGTGTGCAGAGAGGTTTACCAGCTAAAAGGTGGAATTCACAAGTACCTGGAAGAGTTTCCAGATGGATTCTACAGGGGGAAGCTGTTTGTATTTGATGATCGTTACGCCATTTGTTCCAATGAAGATATCATCTCAGGTAGGACTAGATAATGTAAGTGCAGAAGGCTGGGAAGCTATTGCAGACATTTCCACAGAGATGTGCAAGATAGGGGCAGCTGTGTGTTTCCACAGAGATGTGCAAGATAGGAGCAGCAGACCAGGAACAAACTGGTCTGTGTTCCTTATACTTGTTTTGATCTTTTAGTGCTGTCACTTCTCATGATGATTATCAACTCTATGGCTTTAACACATAAAATAGAAATGAGAGAAAAGGGGGTCACTAAACAGTTCCCTAAAACTGGAGCAGTAAAAGGAAGTATCTCCTGCAGAACAGCTGCTGTTATGAGCCATCCTGTAGCTATGGAGATGTATGTCAAGCACTACTGCTGTTGTTACCCAGTTGTTGCCCACAGTGCTGGTCAGACTGTAGCTGGCCAAGTGACCGAAGCATTAAATAATTCTGCTATCAGCTGTTCTCCGCTCCAGTAATATCACAGAACATTAGCACAGACTGCCAGGCACTGGGAGAGTGGTGGTACTAAGCTCTACGTTACTTTGTTATTTTCATGCTTTAAAAAGTTTCTGTAGCCTCTAGAATTTCAGTTACCCCCAGTTGAAGTTAAGAACATTGCCTGGTCTTTTGGCTGAGGTTGCTCTAGACGAAGTATGTTTTTGTTCTTCTCAGTTGCTGGGTGCAAAGAGATGGAATTTGGCTCTAGCCTTTTTTAGGAAGCACTGCTGGTTGTTCTCTGAGCAGGCAACTTTTTGAGCATAACCTCCCATTCCTCCTCTGTAATTACCCTGTACATCTTGGAGGTGCCTGGCTTGGTGTAGAAACAGAACACACTCCAGATACATCACAGCCATCCCTACAAAAGTTTCAAGGTGAAGTGTTTGGATAGACACCTTCTTGATGGTATAGCTAAACTGGGCTGTAGCTTTCAGTTAAAGGGCTAAAACCTGTCTGAAGTTATGGAAGGACTCTACCAGGACTGCAGATGACACCCATCTGCACAAGCCATGGGGTTTAGGTGGAAGGAAGTCCCATGGCACCCCCTTCCCCAGCAGGCAATGTTCCTGCTTACTGGCTTAATTACCACCAGCATATCTTTCTTCTCTTGGTAGCAAGAATCTTTAAATCTGTTTGATGGGAACTAGACAAAGCACTAGTGAGCACTGTTTCCTTGTCCTGAGGGACAGCTGCTCTTAAGTTTTTTACAACAAAATCAGGAGTTTAAAAATGAACTAGGTTCTAGAAGATCAAGCTAAAGCAGGAATTAAAAAGCTGGAAGACAATAGATAGCCACTTACATGAGAGATTGCAGCCCCCTGGTACCATGGAGGACCCTCTGCAAGGGGGACAGATGGGGCAAGTGGGTGTTAACTTTTTCTTTTCCTCCTCCCTCCAGCATGCAGATACTGTGGGACACTGTGGGACCAGTATAAACTTTGTTCCAGCCAGCACTGCCGGCAGCTTGTGCTGATATGTCCAAGTTGTCACAACAAAGGTCTTACAGCTTGCTGTCCTGTTTGTCAAGAGAAAGAGCTCAAGGTGACTTCAGGGGCTTCAGAACAGACACTTAAGGAGGAATGTGAATGTACAAGGAGGCGACCAAGGGTACCTATTGAACATGTCTCACAAAGGATGCCGGACACAGGAAAAGATTAAGCTGTTCTGTTAGCTAATCTGACATGTGCTAATGCGAAGGGCTTCTATAACCAGATCCCTATCTGTTATTCAGTTAGGTTTGGAAATCATGAAAATGTGTTGGCTTGGAAAGTCTTGTTCATACACTGCCTTTAAGCCTAGAGTATGCCCTGAAAACCATCCATTACTTGACTATAAATTACCAGAGTGCCCAACCCATCACCAGCACTACAGGATTCCTCTCCCTGGGTACAGTCTTGTAGCATGGCTTCTACTATGGGGATTTTGGAGCAGAGTACGTACAATGGGGCACAGCTGCTCACAATTCAAAAGAGACTGAAGGGACTTCCATTCCTTTCCTCCTGCATGGAGATGGATCTTTCCTTCCTCTCCATGACCATGCAGTTGCTTCAATAGCTAGTGCTAGGGTGTGAAAACAGCACATGTATCAGCTGCGTGTGGGTGCATGACCAGATTAGAGCTGAAGATATTTTCCACATACGCACCATCTGCCTGCATCTCTTGCTTTATACCAGTGAGAAGCAAGGGGTACTTACCTGAAGTCACTGACTTGACTCCTGTGTAAAACTGGCTGAAGGCAGCGTAAGGAGCCCTCTTGTAACTGGAGTAAAGGCCCACAGATACTGTCTGCCCAGCCATACTTGTTGTGTGTGACCTGTAGGATGAACAGCAAAAGTAATCCTCATTCCAGTGCTTTGTCTCTCCTGGGAACAAGTTTCCCTCAACTTTTGAGTACACGAAATATCCAGGGTTCAGCTCTGCTTCTACTAGAAAAAAACGACAGCTTGACACGTCTTGAAAACTGACACACACAGAGTGGAGCACCAGAGACTGTCAAAATACCAACATTGTGGCACTGGAAGTGATGCTGACTTGTGTGCATAAATGTCAGCAACAGCTATAAGGAGATTGCAAGATCCTTTAACCAAGTTAAATAATTCAAGATTTGGGGAGCATTTGTGCTTTGTAAACATGGGTTGAGTTTTTTCAAAAGCTGAGATGTTTATGCCATTTCCAGCTCCTATTAGTGAAGAAATTGCCTTTGAATTTGAAGTGATCTACAGCATATGAGCTCAAAATACTTCTCCGCCTGCGCTTTGTGTGCCTGATGCTGTAGAATGTACAGAAAGGTTTTATTAGTAGTCTAGAAGATGTATCTTGACTGAAAAATGTCTTTGAAACTTACTGTCATTCTTGATACTGAATAGTTAGTCATTAGGAAATCAAAATCACTTACTGATTTGGTTTGTTGGGGATTTTTACTGGCAACTACTTTTAAAAGCAAGAAAATAATTTACTCAGGTTTCTGCAGTTGCTTAATGACAGTTAGGGCAACATTATTTTCATATAGATGGTAACTTTCTCCCCAGTACTATGAATTCAGCAAGGCCTCATTGTTAGCTTGACTAGCAACTTCATGACACGGGCACTGGTTCCATCAAAGCCATGTCAAACATTTCTTCTTACTTCCAGTATTGCTACCATGAAATCAACGGTTCAG